TAACTCATAGCTAAGCATTGTGAGAGGTGTCATGGTTGTAAGGGAAGTCATAGTTTTGTTGACCTTCAGCATGTACTTGTACATTTATGAAATGTTTTTGGCAAAGGATTGTATCAAAATGCTTTAAAATCAGGAATTTTATGGAAAAAAGTACCTGTTCTATAATCATTGGCTTTTTTTGATTCATGAAAATATGTCTGCAAATATGAAGCTTGTCCACACTTGCTTACTTAAATGAGCTGTGATGAAGAAGTTGGACCATCACATGAATTCTTACATCACATCTGTGATACCATTAAGGAATGGAGATTTATGGCAGTGCTTGTGTGTGACACAATAAATTTGAAGCATTTGTTCTAAGTAGAATCTTTTTGGTACTGCTTGGTAGGTGGGGCAACTTTGGATGTTATTCTTAATGTAACTTGAAAGAACACTTTCATTCTGTTTGTAAAAATGACCATTTTTTTTTAAAGTAAAAAGTGAAAATATATCTTTCCTTATTAGCATGTATTTTTTTCTTGTGTATCATGGTTTTTAGGGCCATTTCTCAAGGTATGCTTGATTTAATGATCTTACTTTAAGAAACATTATTGGAATGAAATTGGCTGCGGTTTTCAGGGATCAGTTCAAAGCATAAATGTAAAAAATATGGAAAAACTATACTATTCTATTTAATATGACTGACTAAGGCTTGCATCAGTCATGGGGGAACTTTTGAATATGGATTATCTTAAAATGGCAAAAGTTGAATAATCTTCAGATTTTTTTTTTGAGAAAAATACTGAAGTGAAATAGTCACTTTCTGAAGTCATAGGATATTCCTAACATATTACTGCTCATCAGTTGGTAGTAGGTCTAGAGTTTGTAAGACAAAACCCCATATGTCCATTTCCTGATCTTAGGAGGCTGGCTGTCCTGGTGGTGCTCTGTTCTGCAGAAGTTACAGAAATGCAAAAGAATGTTGGTATAGATGGTATTCTGCATCTCTATTAAGAGGCCAAAGTCCCCATTTTGGAGAAGGAAAAAAAAAATCTAGGGCATTTAAACCACTGCTGAAATTAACCCTGGGTTTTAGTTGGATTTTTTTTTTTAGCTCACATGAAGAGCTCCTTTGTGGATAATCTAGAAGTGCTTTATACAAAGTAGACCATATCCACTTCAGAGTGAAATTCGTGTGCAATGAGAATTTGAACTTGTCATACAATTTCTTACATTTCTTATATTTCTTACATAAGCCAGAGTTAAAAGAAAATCAGGTAATGACTGACTTAGTTGTATGTTTGGAAAATTCTTAAGAACAAAGAATATGGATGCTGGTAGTAGAAATGCACCCTGACAGATAGAAGGCTTTTGGACACAGGAACAGCACGAGAAAGAATTCGGAAGGGAGCCATGGCTTTCTGAATGAGCTAGCTGCCAAGTGAGAAGTGCAGCGTTGTCAAAAACTGCCTGATACATTCATCTAATGAGGTAACAGCTTTTATTTTTTGTTCCAAGGGAAGTGTGCAATAGGGAAAATTGCATATGGGGAGGTCTGTGAGCCAAGACCCATTTTTACACCAGCAGTTTGTAAATTTCTAATATGGTCCTCTGTATTATTGGGGGGAAGAGAGCCACCATCTACCGGAGGGCTTAGTACGCAAATAACCCGCTAAATTAAAGCCTACAATTAATAATGTTTAATATATCATCTTCTCACCATTGTCCTTGTCAGATTTGATGACTTTTGTCATCAAAAGTGAAATTATGTGCTTGTGTGTGTAAATTCTGTTCTTGTAGTCAGCTTTTGAAAAAATTCCTGAAAGTTGAAAAACAGACTTAATTTTATTTCTAGAAATTCCAGTCACTGCATGTGAAATTGTTAGGAAATTATTCAGTGTATACCACTGAATGTGTGATTAGATAATTAAGGCTAAAAGCTAAAGTTTCCCAAATTTTCTTAGTGCAGTACAAAAATGTACAAACTGAAGGGGAAGAAAATCATCTGTAGTCCACAGGTGAAGCAGTAACTGACCCACAGAATGAATAAGCAGTATGTCCCAATTAAAAAGTTATTAGTGGCAAAACTAGATGCTCTTCCATTTTAAGGAGCTCCCTTCTGCTGTAGTACTGCAATAATGTGAAGTTTTAGATCTTGAGCCATACTGGGAAGTAATATCATTGGACAAAACCCTCCTGACAACCTGCATCTTTATTTTTTTTTTTCCTGTGTAAAGGTGAAGATGGGGCTTTTAAAACTTGGTTAAATAACAGTACCATGGGATGCAAAACCACTAGCTCATAAATTACTGTTGCTTCAAGCTCTGGTTGAAAGAGATCATGTGTCATAGGATTGCTCAACATCTGGTTGAGAATTCTTACAAGCAGAGCACTTAGTCACATGCTTGACTTAAAGTGCATGCATACTTACCATTGCTTAAATAAGTATTTAATTCCCTTCTGGAACTAACAAATGTATGGATTGGGCTTGAATTTACAGAAATTTAAAAATGTAAAATAAAATGTGTGCTGTATGAATATTGTTGGATATTTGTGATCTTTTGGGAAATGGCTGCATTATGAAGGCTGGATAGTAATAGATTGTTCCCTTCAGTGTTTTTATTAATATGTTACTTTGAGTTTGTGACTCTTTTTTAAGTTGAGAAGTGTATTTACCTTAGAGAAGTGTATACCTGAGCTTTAAATGGAACATCCTTTCAGTGCATCATGGATAGTAAGATAATCAGTGTTTGTTAAAGGCTTAAATTTCTCATTACTGGTAAGTTTGGAGTTGAGCAGCAGTTAATCTGGAGACTTCTAAATGATGAAATGCAGTTGTAACTCTATTGAAGCATTGAAGAAAACAACAGTTTTCTTTTAAAACCCTTGGCTAGTTAAATATGATTATTGTATAAATACATATAAATATATAATAAAATTAACCAATAAAATACGGAGTTCTGAATATTAAAGTAAGAAATCTAGAAATGGTTTTGGTGTTTTAGAAAGTGCTTGCTAATGAAGTGGTGGTTCAGAAAATTACAAGTCAACTACGAGTCAGTCTGATCTGTAAGAATGAATTGACCTTAGCTCCTGTTGTACAGCAGAGGTATCTTAATTCTGAACATTGCTGGCTAACAAGGGCAGTTAGTAAAGAAATAATGTTTTTTTTGAGAAAAATAAGGATGTATTGCTTGCTGTTAGCAGCTAATTAAACATTATATTGCAGCAGATGTTGTATAGCATCAAACCCTTCCAGCCTTTAAACTGTTTGTTGTGTGGCTGGTGGATTGGTCTTTCACTGTACAGGTGTTTCTTTACTGCAGAGTTTGCCTGTAATCTGAACTGGCTGTGTTTGTCTTGCATGGATGAAATACCCATTGCCTATCTTGATTTGGCTTTGTGAACTTTCTTTGTGTACAGCAATATAACCGGTCATTTCATGCTCTTTGGGGAGAGTTTTGCAAATCCCAGTTTAATAGTTCCTAGTTTACTCCATCTGTTGATACACTGCCAGTATTCAGCTCTGTGTAGTAAATCTTTGTGAGACTTGAAGTTCTTCCTCATAATCCATATAGGCTGAAATCTTAAACTGTATTCTGTTCTGTAAATCATTTATCTCTGTGCTTTTTAAAAAGTGGCCTACCTTTCCCCTTGAGGCCATTGGTCTTGAATGTATTTACTTTTTTGGCAGAGAGCCATGAATGAATCATAGCCCAGAGCAGCTTACAGTCTGAACTCCTCTCTATTGTTAATATAAAATACTTCATGTGGTTGTTACAGCGTTATGCTATGTAAAACTTTTAAGAGAAGAGAGATTGATTTCAGACTTGCTAGTTGCTTTTGAAGTTTCCCAACAGTATGTGGAAGTGATTTCTTATGGTCGTGCAGCTGTAATTCACTAAAATAACTAGTTGCATGGGAAGTTAGTACATGAGAATGTTACTCTGTCACAGTGCAGTGTGTTTGTTCTTTTGTGAAAATAGTCACACCAGCTTTTCGTTCCATTTGTAACTTTCCTGTTTGTACCTCCCTGCTCTATTTCCATATTGCTTTATTTTTTTATTGTTCTTGAATTAACTCACAAGTCTTCTGTTCTTCAGACACCCCTCATTTCTGGTTTGGCCATTCTGCTGTGGGTATTGTTTCACGCTCCATCCTCTCTTTTTCTGTGTAACAGTGCTTTTATTAAGTGCAACCGAGGACATGATTTATTTCTTGATGTTTAAAAGGATTCTTTGTACTGAAGAGCCTGGGCCCAATCAAAGCACCAAGGATTTCCGTAGGTGAGTCAGCACTGTGGGCCTGGCTGGCTCTGAGATAGACAGTGCCAGTGGAGTGTAACTTCATCTCATGCTTCAGAGGAAATAAACTGCACGACACCGGATGAATGGGGAATAAAAATATGACCGAGTACATAATCCATAGATTTGTTTCTACTTCTTCCAGTCTTTCTTCTTGATGTTGAGTCTTCTTATTAACTTGCCTTTAGTTCTGAGCAACCCATTTGACTAGCATTATGATGTTTGGCTGTTCCTAAGCTGATGAGTGCATGAAATTGTGCCACACAAGGTGCTGACTTCATCCATAAGTGTGTGTAAGATGTGTTCTGAAACTCTTTATTTCCCCTTTTCCCAAGTATTTCAATAGTTTCTCCAGGTGGCTGGCTATATGACCCTTCAAATATTGGCTGTATTTAATGTATTTAACTTTGTTTCAATTGTAGACACTGTATTTCTCATCTGCACTTAGGGTGATTTCTCTTTACATTTGGTTCAGCTTGCTTGTTGGCTAACCTGACTGACAGATGGAGTTCAACAGCTGCAGCCTTATCATAAACAAGGTGCCTCTAGGTAGCACACAGCTGAACAAGTGTGGCTGCTTCTTTCAGAGACCCGACCTCTGTAGTATCCCATAGCTTTCTGATGTTTGCAAGAAACATCTTTGCCCAACTGGGGAGATACAGGTGGATATGGAGGCCAGTATTCCCAGATGGTTTAGGGAGCTGAACCCTAAGGTCCTTTTTTTTTTTTTTTAAATTGATTGAAGAGATAATACTGGAGCCTGTTCTGCCTCAGGGAACTTTAGAACAAACATAGTACTTGGTGAGTATCCAGTAGGGGGGGATCCAACCAGGGTTATGACTCATGCCTTTTCCCAGCAATTAATTTAAAAATAGAATTGAAATTGAAATATGCTTTAAAGGTCAGAATGTCAGGTCAGTGTGTGTCTGATAGTTTTTAATGGGTAAGGTGTTTACAGGGGACAAAGCATTCTTTATTTTTGAGGTCACTTCTGTTGGCCATATATTCTGAGTGTGTGGACAGTTAATTGTCTTTGTATTATCTACTGCAGGAAGAAGAGACATTACCTTTGTGTAGCTATTTTCTGGTATCTTTTTAGTCTGGGTAAACAGCTGATCCTTCTCTCTGTTATGAAATCAGAGTATCAAGTGACCTCCTTTACTTTTTGTTTTCTAGATGAAAAGCTACAACATGGCTGTTAACTGATCCTGCCTGCTTTAGAGAAGAGGCTGTGCTTTATTCCTGCATGTTTTAACATCTTATTCAGATTTCTTAAATTAGAAAAGAAATGAGTTAAGTTTTAGTACATGAAGGTGAAGCTTCAGACTATACGGTTACATTGTTCATGTATAAACAGATATGTTACATCTTTTATGTCTAGCCTAAGAACTTAGTGTCACTTTTACCTTCACAAGCTCTCCCACTACCTTCCCATCAGTGTTGGATAGCTATTCTGACAGTTGCTCATATTTTTCTGAGAAAATGAAGGTCATGCAGCTGGAAGGACGAATATTCTGGTATGTCTGAAACTTCATGCAAATGGAATGGCCATCGAGAGGGTTCTTCCTGATTTTAAATTTGAATAGAATTTGGTTCTTAGCTGCTGCAACCATAAGGGGTTGTTGTTAAAAGTAAGTAAATAAATTGTGCGTAACACTCTGGCTCCTGCTTCTTTCACTTACCCTTTTTTTTTTGTACCATCAGGCCTTCTTTGAAAGACTTGAGCCTCATGTTTAAAACACCTCCTCTGTTCCACTGAACTAGGTAAACCATTAAATGTGTCATTTTAGCTTTATTGAATTAGTTTGTATTACTTCTCTTACACTGAGTCTATTTAGCTCTGTTGGTTTACTTGGTAAATGTGGAAGGTTGTGTTCCCACAGAGCGGAATTTTTTTTTTAATCTCTCTCTCCTGCCAAAGTTTCTCCAAACCTCCTATTTTAAAATCAGTAGTGAAACATGAGAAGGAGACATTCAGTGTGTGGTGGTGTTTTTTTTTCCTTAATGTTGCCATCCTCAAATTATCTTGCTCTTAGCAGTGATGAAATGTCTGGCTCGGTCCCTGTAGAAGACAAGACTGAGAGCCAAGAAGTCAGTAGCTTTGAATGCCTTGAGAGGCGTGCAGGAGAGGGGGAGGAGCTGATTAAAGAATCCTCTCAATGTCTCATCTCTCCCAGTGTCTCATCTCATGACCCTGTTGGAGTGCAGTGCGTTCTGAGGCAAGGCTTTTTAAAATTGAGCTATTTTCCTACTGAAGTCTTGTTGATCTCGTTTCTTTAATTGCCTCACAAGTCTGGTGTTGAGACATACACATCCTAGATGAGGAGGTTCTGCATGCTCATGGCAAACTCTTAGCCTCATCCTTGGTTTAATCATTTAAAGGTGCACCTCTGTTCCATTTCTAGCTTTCTAGTAATTTCGGTAGGAATCTTTCCAGTACTTTTATCTGGTTTTGCTGGTTGTGTCTCTGGTTCAGAAACAGTTCTGTTGACTAAAACCTTTCTCTTGCAGCTTTGAAATATATGTAAATTATGTAGTTTACACCGATTTAGAATGCGCACTCATAGTAATTTTGCATCTGATCATTAAATGCAATCTGTTCATTATTTTAATGATCCCAGTTATGCTAAAATTTGTTTTTTCATATGAGAAAATAAAAATAAGAACCTAATAGGAAATGAGGTCTATTAGATGGATGTGGTAACTGCGCAGTAAGGAGAGAAAAATCAAGGAAAAATGTATACGACTTATTCTGAATATGTAACTACATCTGAGTATCACTGATTATACTGATCTTTCTTTTATACTGAGTTTATCACTCAGGGTTTGCAGTGAACAGTTTGTGTCCATTTTATCATTGTTAATGAACTTGGACAAAACTTCTACAAATTAAAACCAGTGGGTTAATGGGTTAATGCTGAAGAGTGCTTTTAATCTGTCAGTCTGACACTCCTATTTCTGCTTAGGTATCTCATCTTTTTTCATCTTATGGGAATCACCATAGGGTACAATCTTCTTTCCTAGAACAAAGCAAGCAAAAGTACCTGTGGTTAAATGTTCTGAAACATCAGTTAGTGGTGTTCATGTTTCTGTGCAGCTCAGGAAGTATTTTACTGTTTGCTTTAAGATTATGCTTCTGTTCTGACCCTGCTCCAACTGAAATTATAGAGTCTCTTTTAATCTTCCTTTGGATGATGGGGCAGACAATAATGAAGAGGGCAAGCTTTGTCTTGAAGCAGGTAATAAATAACCAACTCCATCAACTTACGGTTTGGATCGACTTGTTTGTCTGGAATTACTGCTATTTAACACATTATGTTCTAATGAAATAATAAACTATCTTTGAAAAAATTAGCGTCTTTTAAAATCTTATGTGGCATGTTGTTTTGAATTCGGATGCATTTTTACATGATAGCTTTGAGATGCAATGCAAACAAATCTCGATTTTTACAGAGAAGAGCTTTAGATTCAAAGTATAGCAATCTTGGCATTGAAAAAAGTCTGTTTGCTTGTGAGGCTGTGTAATTTGTTTTAGATAAAAATGTATTTTGACATGGTTTTAAAAGATGCTGTCTGATAAAAAATATTTAAAGAAGATATAAATAGATGTATGCATTATAACTGTATTGACAGATACTATGAATGAATAACATACCTGTGATATGTACAGGCCTGCTCTGAAAGTAATGCCTCCCATTTTATGTTGACCCGCCACTTCAGAGGCAGATGTTGGTGATATGGCTGTAGAAGTTGAAGCTTCCCACCAATATTTCATTATGGTTCGTTACCATGTAACACATGCTCTTTGTATTTACTGTAATTTCCATGGCAATAAATAGGAGGTATTACTTTCAGAGAGATGTATGTATAGTCTTGTTTTGTGATAGCTTTGGAAAAAGTTTGCTTTGTGTCACAGACTTAATTATCCTTGTGCTGTGTTTCTATTAGTACATCTTACCCTTCTGTTTAGACTTGATGTAACTTCATGTATTTCTGTGGTGCTGGAGAAGTATTCTTACTGCTGCTGCTCAAAAAAGCAGAAGTGAAATATAGCGAGGAGCTGGAAGAAGTCAGATAATTCCTCTTTAACATGCAGTGAATGCCTGCTGGCAAATTACTGCATGCTAGGGGCACCTAAAGAAAAAAGCTCCATCTCTTCAGAGTTGGGTGTTTCTTCAATAAACAGCACAACATGTACCCCCTGCTACTACTAACTATTACAAGCTGAAATCACTTGAAAATGGCTTAACAAAAGCAGGTTTGAGCCTCATTCCACACTGAGTATCCCTGTCTGGTTAACACTAATGTCACTGACAGTAGTAAGACATCACTGCTGTGATCCACATGTAAGGAAGTACTTGCCCAAGGCATTTTTAACCAACTGTTATTACTGTGGAAACGTTTTATTTTCTCAGTTGGTTGTGGAACAGATGTTAAGCTTAATTTCAATAATAATTACAGGATTAATGAAAGAGTCTGCAGAGCTAGGACATCCGATCTCCCTATGTATGACTGCATCTGTTTGATACATTTGTCCCTTTTTCTCCTCTACTCTTTTTGGGGGGGAGAGGGGAGAGAAGTTTGGTGTTTTTTTTTAAGCACCTTAAAACAAGCTATGAAGCAATGGCAAATGTTCCAGGAAATTTCTTAGTGTACATAGAAAGCAGGTTGTGCTGCTTATGAAGTAGAAGCATCTTGTCGAACTGAGCTGATTCTACCTGTTCAGTGGGCTCAGGGATGGACCATGGGCTGACACAAGTTCAGGGCAGCAAATCTTTGGCTGATAAGCATTTTCCTCAGCAGAAAATCTAGGTAATACTGCTGTAATTGGAATGCACGCTCATAGCTCTTGACTTGAAATCACCTTTCTTGTCTGCTGGTTCCTCCCAGTCCACAGGTGTGCCATAGTGTTGTGCCTCAGCTGCCTGCTTCCAGTCCTCATTCACTGTTCTGGATCCCTCAGGTAAGTCTTCTGTTGCATTGGCATATGGAGTGTTGAAGTAACAGTGTGTCATTCCACTGGCATTTCACTACCCTCCTCACCCCACTGCCTTCACTTTTCAGTGATTAATACACATGGAAGAACAGGTGTCCGTTCAGCTGTGGTCTGTTGCAGGATTTGAGTCACACCTTAAGCTCTCCGGTGCCTAAATTCAGGGTGAATTTTTTCATTTTAGTTCAGGTATAAACTGTCAGCTGTCTCGGTCAGTTTTTGTGTTTCAGCAGAGTTTGGTTTCTGCTGGCATTTAGTCAACAAAGAGCCTTTGATACCATTAACTTGCAAAGTATGTGCAAAATGAGAAACAAATTGTAACACCCAAGCAAGCCAAAATATTGTTCATCAAACAAGATTGTTTTTGATTTCCTAATCTGTGAATTTGCCTTTAAACAGCTTGGCTAAATATTAGCATGTGTTGAGTTCAGTGCCTTAAACAAGCTTCTCTTATGGTTTGATAGCTGTTACGATTTGTTTTTTGGTGATTTCCAGCTTTGACAATTAACAGTGTTTGTTTTTTTTTTAATTGTTGTTGTTTCAACAAGTGCTGATGCCTAACTTCAGTGGTGAAGTCTGTCTGTACTAGCAGTGTTTGTGCAGGAATGCATAGGGTCATCTTTCCCAGAGGCTGATATTTCCTCAGACTCCTTAGATGGTTTAATAAATACTCTTCTAAAACTTCTGCTGGGGCCTGTAATAGTGTATGCAAGGATCAAAAGCTGTTTTGACCTCTGTTTTTCAGGCTCCTCCTCATCCCAGGAGCTCTCCTTAACAAAGAGTTCTTTCCCTCCAGCATCTGTAAACAGGAGTGGTGTACTTTCTTTCTTGAAGATACATATTCAAAAGGTTTGTAATTAGTCTACAGCAATTCATCCTCATGATACTTACCAGTGTCTATTTGAGATCGTTTCTCAGTGCCTGTGGTTTTGTTTTCCCTAGTTCAAAGTATTTTTTTTCTTGTTTGGTACTTTAAATATTCTTTTCTACATCACTATTTTGACTACCATTTTTCCAAAAATTAAGTAATCAAATTCCTGTTCTTCCTGGTAGTGAAAATACTTTCCAGTTCAATATTAAAATATCAAAATAATAAAACAACAAAAACCAACCCGTAACTATTATCCTATATTGTTATAAGTATCATAGGTTAACAGTTAAAGACATCTATAAAATAACGTTTGTCACACTTCTCGCCTTTCACTCTTTTAGCCACTGAAATCAGTCCATTGGATATACTAAGTGTGCTGAGCCTGAATCTGGAGTTCATTTAGTGTTTGGAATGCATTTCTGGCTAGCTTTTGGTGGCCATGAGATCTCATGACCCATCCTTGCAAGGATATGAAAAGGCTTCAATATCAGTTGCATGATTTTGATAGATTTTAAAATCAGAGTTGGTGAGCACAGACCCATCACAGTCTCTCACTTATGCAGGATGAGGATGCAGGGTTCACCTCTGACCGTTCATTTCTATGCATCCTCCCCACACCACTTGGTGGGGCTTCTGCATTGGTGGCCGTGCTGTGTAAGTGTGGGAGTTGTGCTTCCTCCCCTCCTTTGTGCTTAAGTCCCATTTTCAGAAGCTAAAATAAACCTTCCTGTGTCTTGGTGCTTTTTTTTTTCCCCTTCAGTAAAGAAAGACAGCTGTGCTGCTTTTTATCTCTTTATGCACATGTTAGAATATATGTTTGTCACATTGAGAGAAGGAAGAATGAGCTGACTAAGAAATATCATGAGCATAACTGTACTGAGATGTTTTGCTGCTGCCTGGTGTCCTTTCCAGGTCCCACCACATCACAGCCCTGACTCCTCCTGTGGTGGGACTGGGGTTGATGGGTTTTCTTATCTCTTAGTTGTTTTATCAGGTAAGGACTTTAATTAGTGCACTTATGCTCTGTTTGATCCTCTGTAAGTCATGTGATCTTAGCTTCTGATAAATGGTTCTTTCACATGCACGAGTCCGGCAGCTTCATTTCATGACATGACTGAAGGCAGGCTCAGGGTGCTGATATGCTCCTGCAGTGCTCAAGTCTTGAAAAGCTGGGGTTTGAAATGAGCGTCCCTGCAGTCAGTGGGATGGTGCAGGAGTGGATGGTGCCTGGGGGGGTGGTGTCCGTGACTAATATGGGCTGCTGGGAAATAAAGAGGAGCCCCGGCTCTGGGAGCCTGGATGTGTCGGAAAGTTCCTTGCCGACCAAGGCAGTCACTCAGCTTTCATTTCACACGTGGATTTTTGGCTACTTTCTCCGAGGGCTGAATGAGTCACACCAAGTGCAAGAAGGGACTCGGAGAAAAAAACACAACTGCTCCCACAAACAGACGTACCGCGCTTCGGTCGTAAACAGGAAATCAACGCGGAGCTGTAGCATCGGCAAACGGGCTTTGTGGCCGGGGGCTGCAGGGCTGGAAAAGCTGCTTTCCGCTGCTCGCACTGAGCTGACGGGGGGCTGGTGAGCGACTTTCTCAGCTGCCGACTGATGGAACGCTTTAATTCTCAAGGCGTGTGCTGCCTTTGCTTTTGAGCTTGCTTTGCTTTGTTCTCAGAGAAGCGCCGTTTTCCCACAGTTCCCGAAGCGTTGGGCGCCGTCCATCCCTACCTGCTCCGCCGCCCTTCCCCACCGCGCGATCCCCGCGGGCGCCGCCCCGCCTCCCGCCGCCGCCGTGGGGCCGCGCCGCGCTCCGTGCGGGCGGGGCCTGGCCGCTCCGCTTCCTCGTCGCCGCCCGCGCCGCGCTCTCCTACCTGCGAGGATATGATGTCAGCGCCTCATTACCCTAATTATGCTGACCTCATAGCCCGGCCCGGCCAATGGGGCCGGCCCGCTCTCCCCACCTGCTAGCAGCAGAATTCCATCATTCCTGGGATTCCTCCCCGGGCCCGTGCAGCGAGCGGCGCCGGGGCCAGCGGCGCCTGCTCCGCTCCGCTCCCGGGCTCGCCGCCCCGGCCCGGGAGTAAACAAGCGGCCCTCCGCCCCCGCCCGCCGCCGCCGCCGCCCCGCTCCGCCGCCACCCGCCCGGCCCCGCGGCCGCGCCGCCGCTCCGCCGCTCCGCCCGCCCGAGAGCACGCTGGTGAGTGAGCCCGGCCGCGGCGGGGCGGAAGCGGGGAGGCGGGAGGAAGGGGACAGGTGGCCCGCGGGGGCGGCGGGCCCCGGGGCGCCGAGGGGAGTGCCGGCGGGCGCTGACGGGCGGAGCGCCGCCGGAGCGGGGGAACTGCCGGCGCTGCGGGACTTGTGCCGAGCCGGGCCGGGCGCCCCAGCGTGCGTCGGCGCGGGCTGCCAGGAGCGGGCGCGGCGCCGCCCCGGGTAACGGGCTGCCCCGTCCTGCCCGCGGAGCCTGGAGCCGTGGCGAAGGGGCGGCTTTCTCCGCGGGGTTGGGTCCTGCCTCGGGCGAGCGGCGGCTGCTGGTGGTGCCGTGCGGTGCCGTGCCGTGCCCTGCCCTCCGGCTCCTGGCTGCGGAGCGCCCTCGCGACCCGCCGCGCCGTCACAGCAGAAGGTGCTGAAGCCGGCTGCTGGGAAACAAGCCGCCCTAAGTTTCTTTCTGGAAGCCTGTTGCACGGCTCTGGGACCAACAAAGCAGCGTGCCGACTGCCATCTTAAACTCACACCTTGGCTGCGATAGAGTGTATTTTCCTTACGGAATTCCACCAGCGGCAGAGGGTCCTGTGGTGCAAATCTTGTCGAACGAGTCCTAAGGGCACCATTAAAGCCTTTGCACTCTGCATCTAGTATGTTCTGTTTGCAGAGCCTGTTTTTTGGTGCAGATTCAGACTCCTCGGTTAGGCTGAGTTTACGTTTCCCAGATATCAGAAGTAATTAACTTTCAGAGCTGACAGCAGGTGACACCTGTGCGCCTCTTTTCTGAAAGTGGGAATTTCACAGCCGTTCCCACTGACAGGAGAAGCTGTGAGGGCAGCCCACGTTCCTTTTCACTTAGGGTTATCAGGAATATGAAACGATGGGAATCTTGTAGTTAAACCAAAGCAGAGTAACCTGTCAAGTGCTCCGTGTTCTTGTGGTGTAACTTTTCTGGAGAGTTGAGATCCCTGTAATGCTCTCTGTGCAGTGATATTACGGATTATCATGTAGAACTGTATGAGGTCTGGCAGTAACCTGTCCCTATTGCTGTAGTAATACATGAGCGTTTATGAGGCTTTTCTAATACTTGCTCTTTATTTGTGTTTCCTGAATGCCTACTCTTAAGAGTATTTCTGATTTTGCTTTGTTTACATCCCTTACGTTTCTTCTGGTCGATATCACAGTTACCATCGTGATATTTGATGTCAGGCTGTATTTACAAAAGACCACTGCAAGTCACAAATGGCCAATGGATTTGGCCCATCTTGGTAGAATTTGGAAGCATCTACACTTGTATTGTGTTGTTTGTTTTTTTTTTTAGCAAGCCACTGGGCTGAACAGTTGCTGTGAAATGGCCCGACTGTGGAGAATGGGGATGGGGCATTTTGGTGCAGGATGCTGGCCTTCCTCATCCCTGCTCAGTTACGATTCAGTGCCACCAGTAGCTTGGAGTAGCGACTAGGCTGGTTCTGTAAGTGCTGAGCACCCAGCGGTGCTGCTGGAAGCTGAAGGCCTAATGGGGTGAAATAGGGCTTGTAGTTAATCTTGGCAGAAGGTAGTTGGTATGGACCTGTTGGGCTTGTTAACTGAAGAAGCATTACAAAGCCACAGGAGATACATATGTGTGTATGTATAAATATGTAGCTTTGGTAACTAACACCATTCGGAGGCACTCAGAAGGTTGATCTGTTTTCAGTGTTTGAAAGTTTTCCATTATAAAAGGTTCTGATTGGTTACTTTTACTATGTTTAGATGTTGCATGCTCTTTATATATCAGAATTTGTAACATGATGGACTTTTTAGGTTCAAGATACAGTCCTGTTTAATTTCTTGTGTTTGTTAGCTTTTAATTCAAATACTGTTATTGATAGATTTCTTCTTAGAATGTTTCCATGTTAAAGAGGATTTGCACATCAAGAAAACAAAAAACACGACGTTAAATGCCAAGTTTTGCTTTAAGCTTGTTGTTTTATACGTGGCAAGTTTCTGTTTG